ATGTTCTCAGAGAAGGGAGAAAGATCGGATGTAGGGAATCTCTGCCCATTTTTCTGAATGCTCGCAGAAGTTATAGAGATCCCGAATAATGTCGGGATTTAGGGACCCATGTGGGGGCCACTTACTTTGGTTATCTGAGGGATAGGTAGGCCAATTTGGGGTACTGAGGCAGATTAGACGCTTAGGCTTAATATCGGGAGTGAGGGAGAGTGTAGAGAGATAATTTAAGAGGCACTTGAGGGGGGAGTCAGCCGGAAGAGATGAGAGTTTCCCATGTTAGCAGTTGGGGTTGGTCAGGGCATCCCCTGGACAAGCGACCACTGAGGAACGGGAGGGTTACAATAAAGCCTGTCGTCACAGGTCGTTATTGTAGACCCGGATTCTCCTGGAGAATCGAGGGGGTTAAGGGCAACCTGGTACCGGGATTTTTGACAAGAAAGTTACCCAAAACCAGATGGAGGGAAGGCTTGAAATCTCTAGCAGCTGAGGGAAAACTGATAGGGGTCTGCTGCGGTCGTAAAGACCTAGGTGGGGTGTGGTCCCCCCTTGCCTGGGGCCGAAGGAGCTGCCAAACGATCAACGGCCAGTTTCCCCGGTTGTCCCAGGCAAGGTTTTAGGTTTTCATTGTGGGGACACTTACCAATCCGAAGGCCGGTGGTGGATGTAGCGTTGGCATTCAGGAGAATGGGAAAAGGCTTTAAGGGGTGAGTCTCACCGGTGCTGGGACTGGGTCCTGCCTTAGGGCGAGAGAATTCCTGATCTGAGTCACGGCACCAATGAAAGACGGTGGCACGCAGTAAGACTCAGCACCTGTTAAAGCCAAGAGATTTAATGAGATGAACGCGGTGGCTACAGAACCTGAGAATCAGGCTGCAGTGTGGAGGCAGGGGTGTGGCAGGTTTTATAGAAATTTAAAGTGACCTGTCGATTACCTATTGGTCGGCAGGTGAGGCATTTTTGGGACTGGCAGGGGCTTTCGCGGGCGTGGGAACGGTGGGTTTTGTTGTGGAAGAAGAACCCGGAAAGCCTTGTCCGAGCCTCCACGTTAGTTTGTCCGGGCACCTTCTTAGGTGGGAGCGCCATTTTAGGTGGGGGCCACGCCTAGGCCTGGCCTTTGGGGGGGGTTCCTCATCGTGGCTGGCTGGGGCCTTTCATTCAGTGTGCCAAGTTGGCTGCTGGGTTGCAGAAATGGAGAAGTGTCACTCCCTCTAGGCTCTGAAATACCTTCAGTTTAGTGGAGGGGCAAAGGCATGGGTGCCAGTTATAATCCAGCTCGATGTGCATTGCTTGCCAGACAGAGGGGCATGTGGGGGCTGCAGGGGGCCAGGAGAGAAAGTGTTCCTGAAGGGGTCTCATGGGACACCTGGGAAACTCAGGTGCCTGTGAATCCAGCTGCACTGGTTACTTCCAAGAGCAAACTCCCTGCAGGAGTCGGAGTTCATCTGGGTGAGATGAAGGACCTTGCTCATCAGTGTGTTTAACCTGCCGATTGGGTTCCATGCTCTCACTTTGAGTCATTGTTAAGTGCACATTGTGTATGAAATCACATGTCTGTGTTTCTTGAAAACCTCTAGACTGTGGGGAAAAAAATGTGTTTACTTTTCTTATCAAAGGCAAAGGATATTAGAAAATTATTCATTCTCATGAGATTGTGGCAATACTTCGTTTTTTTCACACCCTCTCCTCTGGTTATCTCTGAAGTTTGGAACTCAGCTTGTAGCGGGAAGACAGAGAGGCCGTGACATCGAGACTATTATAGGAAGTGGCAGTTTTATTATATAAGCACTGGAGTGACTCAGCGAGCTAATGCTCTAAGGCTGAGTACCCCAAGGAGAGAGGAGAGAGATCTTATACCTTAGTTTAGGTAAGGGGGGAAGTTGTGTTGAGTGATTACACATTTTCTTTGGAATTTACAAGGTTGTACTCAGCAAAATCAGATTTTTAAAGAACAAATGGTTTTCAGGAAATGCATGGCAAGCTGGGGTTGTAAACTGATAACTTTAAAAAGAGAGGATTTGGGTAAGTTTGTGAAGTGGTCACTCTTGCATTTCCATGAAAGCCATCAGTCTTTGGCTATTTGGTTTTCTCAAACAAAACCGGTCTGGGGGTTTTTAGAGCTTGCCGATTGATTTTCAAAAGGAATACTTTTAACTGCTATCAGCCCCCTTTCTGCCACAAGCTGAGAACTAGGATGTAAGCAGTTGAAGACCCCATGAAAACTGAGAGAAATCACTTTAAGTCCATGTACCCAGCATGCCTTCCACACCTAGGAAAGCCCCTCAGTCATTAAGTCTTGTTTTTCTTACCTTCATGCAACCTTAGCAGCTGCAGTTAGGAGTCCAGAACTGTACTGTCCAACATGGTAGCCATGAATCACACATGGCACCCGAGCCTTGAAATGGGACAGTTCCAAATGGAGTTGGGCTCTGAAAATACACATGTATTTCAAAGACTTAGTACAAAAAGAGAATGTAGCTTTCCTCATTCATTTTGATGACATGTTGAAATGATCCTATTTTTTATATGCTGGGTTAAATCAATAGGTTATTAGAATTAATTTTACCTTAATAAAGGTAGCTACTAGGATGTTTAAAATGACATGTGTAGCTCCTGTATTTCTACTGGACCATGCTGATGTAGAGAGCAGAATCTCCATTAAGGGAAGCTTTCAAAGGCACCATTTGACAGTGTGGTAGAAGGCTGACAAGTCGTTTAAAATGATACAGTAAGTCAAAGAGCCTAACTGTCTTGGGGACATTTAACATAGGGATGAACCGACCCATACATTAGATGGCTTCTGGAAACAGTGCTTCATTATAGAGGACAGGAGCCCGTGTCAACAAGACCAACTTTTCAGAAAAGCATTCCCGATGTAACCTCTTCTGTTTGAGAGTGCAGGAGTGTGTACTATACATAACATCTTTCTAACAAGATAAACAGAAGCAAATGAGTAAATATCATGACTTCTTGTGGATAACAGGAGTTCCAAATGTTGACCTTAATCACCTGGTTAAGCGTCTCGGTATATTTGGCGTAAAATCCTGAGGCTTAGACAATGAAAACTGCAGATTCTCGGACTGTGAGCGCTGCAAGAAGTGAATGTTGCTGAGTGTTGGGGCTGGCAGGGAGCCTGAGCTAGGAGGAGGCCATGGGGCCTTGGGCCATTTCCTTCTCTGTCTGAGCCTCAGTTTTCCCATTTGTACTATGATGTATAAAGGCCCACCCAGCTCCAACACGCTCCCATCCTGGGACTTTCACAGTGGGTTCCGCTCTGTCTGTGTGACCGGCTTGTTTGGGGCCAGGCAACAAAATCCATGGCCGCCTGGGAAAGCTGGGGGTGGCGGCGGGGAGCCTCCTCCCTCTGAGTCTTTCACGGGGAAGCTTGTTAAAAGGCTTCCCCAGACGCCCATCCCCCTGGAAAGAGTCACCCATCAGAGAGACAGGCAGAATGGCAGTCCCAGCTTTTATAGCCCCGAGGCCTGGCTCCTCACTAAATATTTCTATCAAGGCAGCACTCTGGAAGCGAGGCAATGCCTCTGTTTAAATGCTTTACTAGCCGCAAGAGCCGACTCAGAAAGCAAGCTGGGTATAAATTTCAGATAAATAAATAAAATTAGCCCAGAAGCGGAAGGGTGGTTGAGGCTTTGCCATGAATTGGGGGCAACCTTGACAGAATTCCTGTCTGCAACGTAAAGGAGACAGGAGACCATTGCCTTGCTAGACTCTCGTGTGGCCCTGTGCTCTTTGAGCCATGGCTGTTGCCAGGCTTCCTCGCTTTGGCCTCCGCCCCCACCTTGGGGAGGTGAATCTTCTCTCTCCCTTCACTTTCTCTCTCTAATTTACTTTTAAATAAACTTTTCTTTAAAAAAAAAAAAAAGGAGATGGGGGCTGGCTTTGTCATTCTTCAGAAAATCTGTCCCCTGCCCACCCCACTCCTTCCACCTGAGGCTTAAATTCCAAAGAAGAATTTTTTTTTCCACACCTCCTCCATGTTAGGTGGAAGACAGAGTAAGCATAGATTTTGCCTTCAAGGAGGTGACTAAACTTAGGACAAGGGAAGCAAAAAAATGACCAGGACCCAGGGTGGAAAGGACAGGAACAGACGTTGTAAAAGTTCAGCACAGAGAGCAATGACTATCGGCTGAGGAAATCAGGGAAGGCTACCTGGAGAAAACGTCAGACCCACTTGTAATTAACTCAAGTCTGAGCCTGGTTTTACAGTTACCACCAAGATGCCCCAGCTGTTCAGAGCAGGTCTTCGGTTGGGTTTCCTGAGAAACAGACTCTGGAATGAAACTCAGTGTACAGGTGTTGATTAGGAGCTACTTTCAGGAACAGCCCCTTTGGGGGTCTGAGGGAAGTCCACTTTGGCAGGGTAGCCACAGTGAGCCTCAGCCAGCCCACAGGGAGCCCCAGAGCTGGAATGGTCCTTCAGGGTCATCCCGAATCCCGACAAGAGGCCTGGGCCTCCGTGCCCTACAACCACCAGTTTCTGCAACCCTGGCTGACAGCTGGTGTCACCAACTGTTCTGGCAGCTGGAAGAGTGAAGGGGCTCTGGGGGGATACACTACAGCCTCCACTTCCGAGGGAGACTGGCAGCCAGTGCTCAGGAGCGGTCTTTGCATCTGGAACACCTTCTGCATGACAGGCACTCAGACAGAAAGGAGACCAAGACTCAGTCCCTGCCCTCTAGGAGCTTACAGTCTAGTAGGGCGAGAAGCTCAAAGGCAACTAATAAAGTGCTCCCTTCTGCCTTCACATGGCACAGAGAGCATGATGGGAGCCCAAGGCAAGGGCAGTTCTGTCCAGTTGAGTCAGGGAAAACAAGGAGGGGAACGTTGAGTCAGGTCTGGGCCCGTGTGCTGAGAGGGCGAGGGTGTGTCCCAGGCGAGGGCACGGCACATCCTCCAAACCAGAGCAAGTCCTGGTGCTCCCAGGGCCGGGTAGCTGGCTCCCGAGGGACAGGTGGCACCTGTCCTTCCCCTTTGCCTCTCTCCAGATCAACCGCAGACTCAGCAACTTGGATGACAAGGTGTCTAAGATGAGCCGCGCCCTGGCTGAGATCAAGAAGCGGTTTCAGAAGACAGTGACTCAGTTCATGAATTCCATCCTGCTGGCGGCAGGTAGGGGGACAAGAGGTGGTGAAAGTCTTCCCAGTGACATCCCAGATCCTGAGTCTCTGGCAAGTTGTCTCAGAGGACAGCCCTCTCCCACCTGTTCCATCTTAAGTCTGTGCCTCCAGGCAAGTAGGCACGGCAGGGAGAGTTCCCCATTTTAGATGAGGCCACCGGGCTCAGGTCACTGAAGAAGTTTCCCCATTGCCACACAGCTAAGAGTGGTGACTTTGGCTCCCTTCCGTTCCTGGGCCTCTCCCGGTATGTCTCTGATGTCCCCATGGGGTTGTCTTATTTTCCGTTGTCTCTCTGACCTCTTTCCCCTGCTCACTCCACTCCTTCCACCTATTAAGCTTTCAGCCATATTTCCCTTGTAACCCATCATCCATCGGCAGCCCCTACTCCTCTCTCCTCAGTGTAGAAGAACTCAGTAGAAGAAAAACAGCAGTCACACCCCCACGCCGTCCCTGCTAGGCCCTCAAAGCCGCCCCAGGTCCGGCGTGGGCAACCTCGGGACCCTTCCATATCTGGGCCGACCCAGTGATGGGCCCTGAGAGCAAGGGGACACTGACAGTTACTTCATGCCAGCCTTTGACTGGGCATGGAGGGGCTGTGCTTTTCCCACTGACTCTCTGGAGAGTTTTCCTTATTCCCAGACTCTTAATTCAATTGCTCTCCTCTAGGAAGCCTTTCTCGATTTTCCTAGCAGAGTGGATCACACCTTCTCTGGGCTCTCATAGCACTTTAGACCTACTCTGGTTATAAATCTTTGTAGCCAGCCTTGTGAGTAGTTCCTTCTCTGCTCCTAACCCCCACCCCCACCAGGAGTTTCGAGAGGCGGGGAACCCTGCATGAAAATGCCTCCACACACCCAGCACCCACATACGATAATTTTTTTAAAAGTTGGGCTCTCAATCTGTCACCCAGGCTGGAGTGCCATGGCATGATCACGACTCACCACAGCCTCAAGCTCCTGGGCTCAAGAGATGCGCCCACATCAGCTTCCCAAATAGCTGAGACTACAGGCATGTGCCACCAACACCCGACTAATTTTTCAAATTTTTTGTAGCGACGAGGTCTTGCTATGTTCTCTAGGCTTATCTCAAACTCCTGGGCTCATGCAATCCTCCCATCTTAGCCTCTCAAAATGCCGGGATTACAGGTGTGAGCCACCGAGCCTGGCCCAATAAGTATTTTGTAAATGAATGAAGGGTTCCTGGCCTTAGAAGTTTTCCTGTCTAGTACGGAAAGGAATACAAGAATATAAACAAATACGATACAACACAGAAAGCAAATAGAATTGGCTTAAATCTGGAGACACAGGGAGCATCATTCTCAGGGAAGCAACAGCTCAAGCCAGGAGTGCATTGTGTAGTTAGCCTCAGCCTTGGGGTTGTGGAGGACACGAAGCTGAATGAAGCGCAGGCCCCATGGGGATGTGAGATTGAGGCGAGGTATCTTGAAGAATGTGTCGAAATGAGACTTACTCTTAATTCGGGGGTGCTCACTGGACACTCACTGAGCCAGGGCTAGAGCTGTGTGCCGGATGACAGAGGAGGCTGCAGGAGAGCAGGAGAATTGAAGAGGTAGAGGGGAGGATGGGCTGAAGTGGTCGCTGATGTGGAGTCTGAAGCAGGGACAGAGCAGTCCTGGCTGTGAAGGGAAAGTGACAGCAGCGTCTTCTCTCAACAGGGCTGTTCACCATAGAATATCCCTCCAGAAACGAGGAGGCAGAATCCAGTCGGCTCAAGATGAGACCCGGAGCTCACTCTGAGCGGGTCCCCAGGCTGAGTTTACACTCTGGAGAAAACGTTTTACGGTCTCAGGTAGCCCAGCCAGACTCAGTGGCGGAGTCCAAGGAGGAGCACGGGTCTGCTCCCGTGAGCTCCATTCGGAAGAAGACCAAAAGCCACGCCAAGGCCACAGTCACCTCCAGGTGGGCCTGAACCTTCATGTCCTTTCTTTCTTTCTTTCTTTCTTTCTTTTTTTTTTTTTTTAAGACTCTCATTCATTTTTCTATGCATAACTTAGTGGCAGCCTTAAAAAAATTTTTTTTTTTAATTTTAGAGATGTAGGGTACAATTCAGGTTCGGTATACAAATGTTCATTATCCTTCATATCTTTCGCAGTGTCAGTCACTGTGACAGGCAGTGGACACCCATGGCTAGCCAAACAGGTGGGGCCCATATCATTGGAGCTGAAACTTCAAGGGCAGAGAGAGATAGGAGGTAAATACAGGAAAAAATGAAATAAGTTTAGACAGGGATGAGGGCTTGGAAGAAAAGGATTAGAGTCATGGGTTAGGGCAGGGCTTGGCTGTGACAAAATTTGGCCTTGCTGTCTGTTTTTCAAGGGTGAGCTAAGAATGGTATATGTTTTTAAGTGCTCGGGGTGAAAAGAAATCAAAAATAGAGTGTTTCATGATACAGAAAATGATATAAAATTCAAATGTCAGTATCCATAAATAAGGTTTTTGGGCTACACGGCTACGCCCATTTATTTGCATATGGTCCTTGACCCCTTCTTCGCCACAGTGGAAATGTTGAGCAGTGGTACAGAGACCATCGGGCTGCAAAGCCTGGAATACTTACTCCCTGCCTCTCTGCAGAGAATGTTGCCTGACTCTGGGGAGAGAGAGTGGCTGGGTCTACCACCATACCACCCTGAACGTGCTCGATCGTGTCTGATCTCGGAAGCTAAGCAGGGTCAGGCCTGGTTAGTGTTTGGGTGGGAGAGAGTGGCTGGGAAGTGGGGTTGATGGGCTGCGTTTGGCAGAGGATCAGGGAAGGCAGTTCTGAGGAGATGATACTGAAATGGAGATGTGAAGGATTGAAGGCAGGCGGCCACAACAGATGTGGAAGAGGCATCAGGCAGAGGATTCAGCAAGTCTAAAGGCATGGAGACAGGAACAAGTTTGGTATGTGTGAGGGACAGTGAGAGACCAGCGAGGCTGGAATATCACAAAGAAGCAGGCAGGGTTGTGAATTGTAGGCAGGCGTTCTATCAAGTAGCCTTAAAAAACAGTTGTTGGTTTTTTTAAATGTGGTCTCACTATGTTGTCCAGGCTGGTCTTGAACTCCTGACCTCAAGAGATTCTTCTACCTCAGCTTCCCAAAGAGCTGGGATTACAGACCTGAGCCACTACACTCAGCCTAAAGTAGCCTTGATAGCATTATAGGAAGCATTTCATAATTTTAAGAAGGAAGTGACATCATCTGATTTATCTTTTTTAACTTGAAAAAAGTATAACAATTTTTTAGCTTTTTAAAAAATCTAAAATGCACACAGAAAAATGAGCAGATCCTAAGTATGTAACTCAGTGAATATCACAAAGTGAACATACCATATAACCACCAAGTCAAGAAACAGAACACTCCTACCTCCTTGGAAGGCACCTCTTGTCCCAACCCAGTCAATAATTCCACCCTCTTCCTCAGATGAGAGATTTCGAGCACTATAGATTAGGTTTTTTTTAACTTTATTAAAGCAGATCTATTTGGCATGTCTTCTTTGGTGTCTGACTTATTTGGCTCAAAAGTATGGTTGTGAGATTTATCCATGATGTTACATGCAGCAATAGTTTGTTCTTTTTCAGTGCTCTACAACAATCCGTTGTAAATATATCAAATTAAGTATTTGAATGATGAATATCTGGGTTGTTTACAGTTTTGGTAATGACAAACTGTGCTACTATTGGCGTACATCCTTTTTTCCTGATTGATATACGCCCAGATGTGAAATCTCCGTCCTAGAGTATGTATGTGTTCAGCTTCTTGTACAGACTATTTCTGCAATGGCTGTGTCCAGTTCCACTCCCACCAACAGTGTGTATGTGTGAGAGTTCCAGTTGCTCCACAGTCTCGCCAATACTTGACATTGTCTATCATTTTAACTATAGCCATTATATAGTGATGAAACATATTGTCTTAGTGATGAATGGTCTTTTATTTACATTTCCCGGATGACTACAGGGATCGAGTACCTTCTTAATTGCTTATTGACCATTTTGAATACAGTAGTCTCTCTTATCCTTGGGAGATACTTTCCAAGACCCCCCAGTGGATGCTCAAAACGGTGGATAGCACCGAACCCTATATATACTGTTTTTTCCTACACATACATACATACCTATGACAAAACTTAATTTATGAATTAGGCACAGTAAGAAATTAACAATTACTAATAAGAAAATGGAATTATATAACAATATACTGTAATACAAGCTCTGAGGATGTTGTCTCTGTCTCTCAAAATATCTTATTTTACAGCACTCATCTTTCTTCTTGTGCTGATGTGGAATGATAACATGCCTATGTGATAAATGAAGCAAGGTGAATGACGTAGGCATTGTGATGTAGTATTAGACCACTGCCAACCTTCTGAGGGTCCATCAGGAGGAGAGTCATCTGCTTCCATAGTGCTTGTTAGTTCTTCAGGTGATCCTGGGTCATGGTGATGGTGATGCAGTATTAGATGTCAGGTGATCCTGGGTCATGGAGTCATGGTGATGTCAGTAGTTAGAGTGACAGACCGTCAATGACTAACAGGCAGGTAGTATATCCAGCATGGATACTCTAGACAAGGAATGATTGACATCCCTGGCAGGATGGAGCAGGAAGGTGCAAGATTTCACCATGCCACTCAGAATAGCATGCAACTGAGAACTTATGAATTGTCTAATTTTGGCATTTTTTATGTAATATCATCAGACTGTGGTTGACTGCGGGTGACTGAAACCACAGTAAGCAAAACCATGGATAAGGGGCTCTACTGTATTCTCTTTTGTAAAGTGCTTGTTCAGTTCTCTTGTCCATTTTTTGATTAAGTTGTTTGTCTCTTCTTGGTTGATTTGCAGGAGTTCTTTACACATTGTCGATATCATAACTTTGGTCAGTTACACATATTGCAAATGACTCTTTCGTTTTTACTCTGGTAAATCAATCTGTGTCTATCAATGAGCAGAAGTTATTTATTTCCAATTTTCAATCTTTTTCTTTATAATTAGAGCTTTATGTATCCTGCTTAAGAACAACATTCTCAGACAGTGTTCTCCAAAATTGCTTTCTAGTCACTTTTTTGTTTTAATTCTTACATTTATATCTATTCTCCACTTGGAAATGATTTCTATAAATGATATGAATGTGCTAAGTTTTCGTTTTTTTCTATATGTGTATCTAATCAATCCAGGCACTACCTGTTGAGAAAATTGTAATCTTTCCTCAGTTCTCTTGTGCAAACTGTCATGCATCAAGGGCTATCTATGTATAAATCAAAGGTTGTTTTCTGGATTCTCTATTTTGTTCCCTACTCAACATTTTACCAGTACCAAAATATCTTCATTATTACTTTATAGTAAGTACTGATACACAACAGACTAAGTTCTCAAATTTTGTTCTTTTAAATTATTTCATTGTTCTTAGTCCTTTACATTTTAAAAAATGTCCTGGGACTTCAGTTGGATTGTTTATGTCTTTGCCATTATTTCAATCCATGACATGGTGTATCTTTTTATTTATTTGTGTCTTCTCTACTCTATAATATTTTGTAGTTTTCAGCACAGAGGTGTTATGTGTCTTTCGTTAGATTTAATCTAGGTTATTTAATAGCTTTGGTGCTATTATGAATTATGTTTTTTATTTCATTTTTCTATTTGTTGCTGGTATATAGAAAGGTAATTAATTTTCTCTCAATTTAAATTTATTTTTAGTTTGCATATAATAAACTTTACTCTTTTTAGTATAGAAGTCTGGGTTTTGACAAATGCAGAGTTGTGTAACAACCCCCAGAGCCAAGATGTACAATGATTCCATCACCCTCCATCAAAAGAAAAAGAAATTCCCTTACACTGCTCTTTTACAGTTAAACCCTTCCCTCACCCTTAATCCCTGACAACCACTAATCTGTTCTTTGTAGTTATGATATAAGACTATTCTGAAGCCGGGCTCGGTGGCTCAGCCTGTAATCCTGCGCCTTTGGGAGGCTGAGGTGAGTGGATTGCCTGAGCCCGAGGGTTTGAGACCCGCCTGGGCCGCGAGACCTCATCTCTACAATAAATCAAAAAATCAGCCGGGCGTGGTAGTGCATGCCTGTAATTCCGGCTACTCGGAAGGCTGAGGCGGAAGGATCGCCAGAGCCCAGCAGGTCGAGGCTGCGGTGGCCGGGAGCGGCCACTGCACTCCAGTCTGGGCGACAGAATGAGACTCCAACTCAAAAAAAAAAAAAAGACTATTCTGATTGTTTATTTCGTTTTGTGTCCATTTTGGTAAGTTGTCTTTTTCTAGGAGCTTATTCCTTTCATCTATCTGCCTAAATATGTTGAAATAAAGTTTTAAAAAATATCTTATTATAATGTTTTAAAGAACTATAGGATCTGTAGTAACACCCTTTTCACATGAACTAGCATTAGGTATTTGTGTTGTCTTTCTTTTTTTTCCATGCTTCCATTTGGGATCATTTTCCTTTTGCCTGAATAATTATCTTTAAAATTTCCTTATGTATGCTGGCGATTTTTTTTTTACTGGATATGTCTTTATTTCACCTACATCTTGAATGATATTATCTATGATTGGCAATTATTTCTTTTAACATTTTGAATATGTCTTTTTGTTTTCTGGTGTCTACCATTTCTCTTAAGAAGTAAGCTCTTGATTTTATTGTTGCTCCTTTGAAAGTAATGCATTTTTTTCTCTGGGTTTTTTTTTTCCCTCTTATCTTAGTTTGTGACTTTTCTTTAGTTAGAGGCTTTTCTATGATGTACTTAGATGTGATTTTTATTGTACTTATCCTGTTTGTAGCACTTTTTGCTGCAGCTTTCATCATTTTTGAGAAATTCTCAGCCATTATTTCATTAAATATTTCTCTTCTTTTCTTCCATCACTTCCTCCTTCTTTCTCTTTCTCTCTCATTCTTTCCTTCCATCCTTCCTGCTTTACCTCC